GTGTCTGTGTGTCCGGCGCTGGCCTGGGTTGGGTGTGTCTGTGTGTCCGGCGCTGGCCTGGGTTGGGTGTGTCTGTGTGTCCGGCGCTGGCCTGGATTGGGTGTGTCTGTGTGTCCGGCACTCCAGCGGGGAGTCCGTGGTGGGTGTTGCTGAGGTGCTGGGAGCAGGACCTGTGGGCAAGCGACGGGCTGGACTTGACACTTACATGTTTTATTGAATCTCCCAACATCCAACATCCCATTTCCATTTAACAGATGAGGAAACAAAAACACAGAGAGGAGAAGGCACTCGTCCGAGGTCCCCTGCCAGACACTGGGGCCCAAAGCCTCTGCCTCTCCGAGCAGCAGGGGTCGGTCTGGGATGGATATGGAGGCACAGGGCCTTGGATGTGCCCATGGAGCTGCTCGGCCAGTGGGGAGTTAGCCAGCATTTTACAGGCAAAGCTGCAGAGCTGTGCTGGTGCCTCTGTGTGAGTGTTTACCTGCAGTTTGTTACTTGGGGAAATCATGTACGCTTCTTGCTGCTTCTGGCTGTGCAGAATACAGACTCAGATCTGGAATCTTCTCACTGCTTCTGGCTCTGCAGAAAACAGACTGAGATCTGGAATCTTCTCTCTGCTTCTGACTGTGCAGAACACAAACTCAAATCTGGAGGCAAAGGGCAGATGCCGTGCAGAGCGTCAGAAAGCACTGCAGACCTCAGACCACAGGGAAGCCGGGTTTTTAAACCATCTTCCTGCACGCCTTTTCAGGAGGACTAACATTAGACCAGGTGGTTGAAGGAGGGTGGGTGCAGCTGATGCTCCAATTCAGTCAGCTTTTAATGTGGCTCCTTCAAGCAACTGCTGCCAACCCGCTGTGCCCACCCACCCTGGTTGGGAAGGAATCTGCCGTTCTCAACAAGCCGAGTGTCCCTGCCCCCAGCCCCTGCATCGCTGAAGCTGCCCAAGTGTCAGTGGTGGGGTGTTGTTGAGGGTGCGGCACAGAATGGGTGATGATGCCGCCTCGGTCCCCATTACTCCAAGGCCAGGACTTGGACCCAGAGTGGGAGGAGCTCCAGCTGTGCACCCAGGAAGTGCATCCATCCCCGGGCCGTGGGGACCCCACCGCTGAGGGGCAACGGGAGTGCATTCTGTTGCAGACAAACTGCAGGTCCAGTCTGACTTCTGTCTTTTCGAGCCTGGCTCTCTCTCTGCCACTTCTGAGGTCCTAACCTTGCCTCGCCGCCACCCCGCAATGGCCGCTGTCTGCACCTCAGAGCTCATGCTACTGCTTTGCCCTCTTCTTAATTTCCTGTTTTGTTTCTGCCTTCTGTGGTGTCTCCCATGCTACTTGCTTTATACATTAAAAAACCCTAAAAAACAACAACTCTAGGCATTTCCTGCCAAGCAAGCATTTTGGGCAGAACTTTTCCACTTCCAGGACGGGCTGGATTGTTGTTGGCTGAGAAGCATCTCTGCAGCAGCAGAGAGATGAGACACGTCTTTCTCAAGAGCAAACCAGGACTAATACATTTCTCTCACAGCCAAAATTACCCTGTGTTTGTGCTACTGGAATTCACTCTTGGAGGCTCTGAGTGGCTAGAACCTTCTGTGTCTCCTCCAGCAAGGGTGTGCACAAACAGTACCTATCCTGGTGGCAACTGGGGGGAAAGTCCAGGAGGAGAGGTGGACACCAGCTGATGTGTAGGGACGAAGTTTACTGAGGAGAGAGGAAGCAAGCCTTGAACGCGTCTATCCTCTCACCTGGGTTGCAGAGGCTTCGAGGCTGCCCTGAGGGCAAAGCAGGAGAATGTCCCTCTGCCCTCTCTCAAGGGTGCTTCCAAGGCACTTGCCTGGATTTGTGAACCTCTGCGACACGTGGCTGGGAGGGATGGGAGGTGCTGGTAACATCCTTCCTGGGAGATGGCAGCCTCTGTAGGAGGGGGAGCCCGTGCCT